TCTGTAATATTTTCGAACATTATTCATTAAAGATTTCAAAAAAGGATCGGGATAATGTCATTTTTTTTAAATTTGAATTCTTTTGACTTTCTCTGAGTGACAACTTTATCAAAAAATGTGCACTAATTTCGGAAATTCCATAATTTACTTACGAATATTACTAATTTCGTCAACCGCGATATAAATCAAATCAAAGAATTTCTCCGTGGATTTTGTTAACTTTATGATATAATCTTTTTAGCGCATTTCCACAAAAATAAAAAAAAATGCGCTATTGTGGCCACTTTGTCCGTCCGTCCGTCCGTCCGTCCGCTAACTTTGCGACGCTACTAGTTTTTTTATCTTAAGAGCTATTGTTCTACTTTTTTCGCTATTTGGTTCGTTATGGTGTCGAGTCTTGTACCCAGGAAGGAATTTTTTCTGTACCGCTTACAAAAAAAGTTATTGTAAAAAAAACAAAAAACCGTTTTTCACATGTTCCATAATTTTACACTTTTGCCGTTTATTAACGATCCTAGAGATCGTTTATAATTTTGCATTGCTATCTGTCGCCTGCCGGTTGGTCTCTCCGTCTGTTCCTTTGTCTGTTTGTCCATCTATCTGTCCGTGTGAACCATAACTTTGTTTAGAAATGTTCGATCGCTTTTACATCTCCGTTAGTTATGAACTGAATTGCATGAAATTCAATATGGGCATAGCTTTAGCCATATAATACGCCATGCCAAAAGTTGAATCGAATCGATTCAAAATTCACAGTGCCCTTTTCGCATCTCGACCATTTATAAACCGAATTGTAAACTTTTTTACTTATAAAAGTATTTTAATGAAATTTGATACATAGACACTTGGAATAAAGGAAATTCAAACGCCAATTTCAAAATTTGGTTTTGCGCATGCGCAGTGCCAACTTTTTTATTTATGGAAGAATTTAAACGAAATTTGATACATAGGCACTTTGGATAAAGGAAAATCAAACGCCAATTTCAAAATTTGGTTTTGCGCATGCGCAGTGCCAACTTTTTTATTTATGGAAGAATTTAAACGAAATTTGATACATAAGCACTTCGAATAAAGGAAAAATCAAACGCCAATTTCAAAATTTGGTTTTGCGCATGCGCAGTGCCAACTTTTTTATTTATGGAAGAATTTCAACGAAATTTGATACATAGGCACTTGGGATAAAGGAAAATCAAACGCCAATTTCAAAATTTGGTTTTGCGCATGCGCAATGCCAACTTTTTTATTTATGGAAGAATTTAAACGAAATTTGATACATAGGCACTTGGAATAAAGGAAAATCTAGCGCCAGTTTCAAAATTTTATTTTGCGCATGCGCCGTGCCAACTTTTTTATCTATGGAACTATTTAAGTGAAATTTGATACTTAGGCGCTTGGAACAAAGGAAAATCTAACATTAGTTTTAAAATTTAGGTTTGCGCATGCGCAGTTCCAACTTTCTTATTTAGAAAAGCATTGAAATGAAATTCTTCTCATAAACTGAAATTGAAGTAGCACGTCAACAATGGATTGCCCATGTGCAACGCTATCTTTCATATTTGTGGCCGGATTTTTACGATTTTAACAGAAGTTGCATCTTACAAATGGGAAATGAATGCAAGTGGAAATGCGCTTTATGTAAATCGTTTTACTTGTTTTTCATTTATGAATTCCACCGACATTTTTTTCTTAATTTCCAAATATGAATATTTGTGTATACAATTTCATACCTACTTGTTTCTTACTCTCTACATTGATACTGTTACTTTTGCCTTGAAATTTCAGGGGTAGACAACACTACTTTCTAGTTTTTCTGAGATCCTTTAAAAAGATTCAATTATTAGGTACTTGCTTGTTTTACAATCACAACAATTGCTGCACCATCGCTGTAATGACTAAACAATTGAACTGACCTGTACACTAATACTGCCAAGTGATTTGGGGAGAATTTTAGAATAATTTATACAAAATCGAAAAGAGCATTTCCAACATTTCTAACCAAAGTGTTAGTTTCTTCCTCGGTTTCTTCTATGTATGGCTATTAACATTTTTTTGCTGTTATCAAACAAAAATGTTACAAAAACAGTAGATAAAGACGAAATGTAAAGATGTCGTGACTTTGCGCGGCATGTATCTAAGATGTTTGTTTTGTCCCTGTTGGTTCAATTTTTGCTGTATTAAAAAAATACAACCTGGGTGAATTCTTTTGGTCCGAGGAGTTGAGATCTCATTGTTTTGTTGCCTCCAATAGATTTTGTTTTTTTTTCATTCATCAAGGCTATTTGATTAAAATACAAAAACCGTTGATATAACTGGTATCTTATTTTCAATCTTATGCTGTGATGGCTCGTTGAAAAGAGAATAAAAAATTCTATTAATTAATCTAAAAATCCAACATGGCGCCTATTTAACTTCAGGAAGTTGGTAGTTGTTCCTCAAAAGTAGCCTACTTGAATTTTTTTACATCAAATCTAAATTAAGCGTATCAAAGACAGTAACTTTTATATGAAACTTTTTTTGTATCTCGTATACTTTGGATGATATAAGACATTCAAGGAAATGACCGATTTTAGTTTTTTTGAAATTACGTTCATCCCGAGGTTCAACCTATTCCTCATTTTGAACTTTCACAAGGAAATTTTAAATAAGCAACTGCAAAACGTTGTCCCTTTAACCCATTTTCGATCTTTAATAATAAGAAAGTTATCCATGCAATCGATCTGGGACACACTGTATAAGCGCAATAAATGGCAAAAGTTTAAAATTGTGAGGTGTAATCAATTTTTTTGCTATAACCTTTTTTGTAAGTGGCACAGAAGAAATTCCTTCATTGGTGCAAACCATAACGAACCAAATAGCGAAAAACCTTAAGGTAAAGATCTGCATCTGATAGTGACACGAGCGTTGGGACGTACGGACGGAGAAAGTGTTCACAATAGCGCCTTTTTTAAATTGAAGTGTCTACTTTTCTTCGCTCAGTATACAGTTATACACTATAGGATTTGGACGGGAGTAAAATCATCACGTGGTCGTCACGTGGAATGCTCAGCCGCCGACTTGATGACGCGGGTTCGAACCCAAGCTCGCGAGTTTTTTTAAGACATACATCACAGCTAAAAAAATTGGACGAAGTAGTGAGAGAGAAGGCAGTAGTTACTTTTGTCGGTACTCACCAAGTGTCACTTTCGAATGTTTTGTGGAAACGCGTTAGAAATTGATTTGAACGCAGAAAAGTTGATCCACACATACGTATCAGCGTGTAAAGGAAGAAATATCCGTTGGATAATAATAATAATATCATTTATTGCATTTATACTAGTTACGCTTTTTAATACCACTCGCGCGCGTTAACTATAGCGCGTTCGCACCTCCAAATGCAGTATGGTGTTTATGGACATACAGTACATGCTTGCCAAACGTGACAATGACAGCACAAGGAGATTATGTTTTGTTTTAATACTACAATTTAATCATATGTCAATTTGACATCAATGCGGTTGGAAACAAGGATAGCATTATCGAAGAATGACGCAAACTGCATCTGGAGGTGCGAACGCGCTATAGCATTCGTTACAACAACTCAAAAATATTTGACAATACTTCAACTACTCATGGTAGTATACAGTGAATTTTTTTAAATGCGAACATAGTAGTTTGTATACAATGTAATTTCCCTATGTTCGATTTAAAAAAAAACACCTCAATCTTTTGAGTAGTAGACACAATTGACAGCTGTCACATTTTAAAAAATACCGCCGTCCAAAATCTGTTAGGTTATTGCTTAGAATGTCAAGGAGGACACTTCGAACATTTATTGTAATTGTTTTCGTTACTTATTTTCTTCATTTATGTATTGAATAAATCAAATTAGTAGAATACCAGGTGCACATGACCTACAAACAATTGAAGGTTGGTTCACAATGTATTGTGATGTCAGCGCGTGCCATGTGAAGTCGAAGTTATCGTAAGGTTAAGAAAAATGTATCCTAAAGTTGCTATGGCCTCACATGGCTTCTTTAAAAAAATCTTACCGAGTGCTCTTCATCATAACGACTATGAGTTGCTGTTCATAGTCACACAAGTTGCGCGATTTGGGAATGTGAACCGCGCCCACCTCATAGATTGATGTGTTTTTTTTAAAATCGAACATAGGGAAATTACATTGCATGCAAACTCCTATGTTCGCTTTTAAAAAAACTCTGTATATGAGATTTTAATAACCTATCCTCGAAGCTATCATATGATGTAATAACATACAGCGTGTTCCATATAAAAAATAACATTTTTGTTATTATTTGAAAAATGCTATGTTTTGAAACAGACTGTATGTAATATGTTCGTAAGAAAATATTAATACTGATTTAGAATTAAGTACCATGGAGTATGTGGCACATGGTATACACTATACAAGAAACATATAACTCAGATTTACAAAATATTGTAAGTTGATTTCTATTTACGATATCCAATACACAGGACTGTTCTGCACCAACTGCATATTTTTTTTAATTCTAAAAAATGCGCTAACAAGAGAAATCCGAGAAGAAAATAAGTATCTGGTTGTTAAATTTAATTTTCAAAATGTCCTGTCCACCCCACAGGGACCGGGAATGGTTTTAAATTTTTTCTCGAGTTCTTCGCAAAAATATGAACACTGCAATTCTACTGTTTATGAAAGTGGTACCCGGAACGGCTGCTGTTTATTCCTTTCGGCTAGTTGTAGGTTGGTGATTAACCTCCCTAGTAGATCTTTAGTAAGTAGTATTTATAGTTGCTTGTCGACTAGTTCTAGCGGTTACTTATCTGACTTACCATACCATACTATAGCACTAGAACTAATGCGGGTGTAATTAGAACTAGCAACAAAATATGAGATACCATGTGAAGTTGGTACCTCATTTCTTCAACGGTGATTATTTCAAGTAAATAAATAAATAAAAGTTAAAAAAAATGGAAATTTTACTAAAATTGGTCAAACACTGTAGAACTATGAGTGCAAATAGAACTGTTAAGAAATTTCGCCATTTTTGATAATGATGTGGTTTTAAGATGTTTTGAACATGTACTGTACCATTGTTATTTACACTATCGACCTTTCATAGTTATTTCTTGGAACAGGTACAAACCGCCGCCACATCTGGTGGATGTCGCAGCCGATGAGCAACAAAGTGCGTGCGCTCGCCATTTGGACAGCCTGAGTGTGTATTATGGGCGACAGGTGCTTTTAGATTTGGTCGATCAGCGTGGTTCTGAAGGTAAGCTGCAAAAGGCTTATGCGGACACTGTGCAGGCGCTCGGATTTCCTTTCGTAAGATACGAACCTTTCGATTTCCATTCGGAGTGCCGACACATGCGATGGGATCGTTTGTCGATACTATTGGATCGCATATCTTTGGAGCAGGACGACATGGGATTCTTTTTGTTACTGAGAGATGGATCAATACCTCTTCTACAGGATGGCGTCTTTCGTACTAATTGTGTGGACTGTTTAGATCGGACTAATGTCGTACAGAGCATGATTGCCAGACGATGTTTAGGTAACATATTGCATAAGTTATCTATAATAAAAAGTGAGGAGAGTATAGAGGAATTTCCGTCCTTAGAACGAGTGTTTAAGGAAGTTTGGGCAGATAATGCCGATTTAATTAGTCTTCAGTATTCTGGCACAGGTGCTCTTAAAACTGATTTCACACGAACCGGCAAACGGACGCACGTTGGCCTTATGAGAGATGGCCTTAACTCGTTGACGAGGTATTATAAGAATAATTTCAGTGATGGTTTCCGCCAAGATGCTATTGACTTATTTCATGGCATTGCCGAAATTAAGTCACCATTGCGAATCGAGCGTGGTTGGAAGTATATTACTTTCCCGTCCGTATTATTAGTAGCAATTGCTATGTTTGTGGCATGTGCGATTTTACCTTCGGAGTACTCGACAGATTCTCTTTTGTTTATTCTGTTCTGGGGTGTAATGGTTACAGCAACGTTAACGACCATTTTGAATCATGGTCCTGAGTTTGTTGATCAACCAAGGCTCACTGTTCTCTAATCGCTGTGATGGACGTCTCTTGAGGATTTTGTAGTAAGTATCGTCATTAGAAAGCCAACCACTTGGAATCTGTGGGTTTAGTTTACGTGGCAGTTATAAATGACAAAGCAAATCATTGTCACACTGGTAGTACATTAGCACAAATAGTGAAATTTTGTATACAAAAAATAATTTTTCAAAGTATGTAATGTTTACCTTTGAATGCTTTTCCTTAATTACATTGATTATACAAAAATTGTGAGGTTCGTATTAAATATTTACTCTATGTCAAAAATATGACATTAATTATTTTGACTACAAGGTGTAAACTCAATAGTAAAATTCAGTTATACTGGAATGCCCGCTCCGTTCGCCAGCCTGATCCGAGAGAGAGAGAGCCACAAGGGACATCTCTGTTCTACGCTAATGAGTGATAGTGACAGAAATCCCTCTTGCCCATTATCTCTCTCGGCACACTACGTTCCTATGGCAGGAGACCGCCAGTGCGCATTCCAGTATAAGTATAGTTCAGTGGTCAAATTATAATTCAATTAATTAAAATTCAAAATGAGTGAGAACAGGCCATAATTCTAGAGCGCGCATCATCTCCTTTCTTTAATGTTATATATTCATATTTTCTCAGGTAACTAGACTTCAACATAATTTCAACAATTACAGAAATGAAATTTCAAAAGATCTGGAAAAATTATGATTTTTTAAATATTATTTAAATGAGGTTTTCTGAGGTGGATAGCAACTTTCTTATTTTAAATAGAACACCCTATATATTTTATTGCATTTCCGAAATCTACATGAAAATCTACGTCGTTTGATATGACATTTCCCTATACCTAGCATCAGAGGTTTTCAAGTTATTCAAGATTTTTCAAAATTTTTGACGTTTGACTGTTTCTCTTTCGCGCCCTCTACCTATGGCTCCATTGACTTGAATTTCAAAAAGTCTTCGAAAATCAACAATACTGACGTGATGCTACGTGCCAATGAAATTGTGATCGACCTTCTACAGGGCGTGTTAAAATTAATGGTCAAGTTTAATAACTTCGAACCTTAAAAAGTTGATTTTTTCAAATGAAACCTGCTTTTAGTTTTTTGCACTTGCAAATGTGGAAAAAATTCTACATCGATCAATTATGCCCTATACCTATCTGTTATGGTTTTCATTTTATTTAAGATTTTCTAAAATTGTGACCTTTATATGCATAATTTTCGTAGGAGGCTTTGAAATAAACTCACTCATTCACGAGACATTTTAATAGCGCTCGCGAAGCGCTTCACATGGCGAACGCCCCATTGTTTATTACACGTAGTAAACGGCATGCACTCAGCAGCTGCCTACCACATACCTGTCTCTTTGCATCCTTGTCAGTCGTGGGCTTACATACGCAACGCTTCTTAGTCACTCTCCCCACTCGCGCTTAAAACTAAAGGCGCGTTTAGACGGTTCATTTTGAGTGATCATCTTGAATGAATCATCTAAAGTGATTTTGGCAATTTAAAATCAACCAGAGTGAATTATTTAGTTCATTTAAAGATGGCGCCTCTTGAATAGTTAGCTCCCCTACGATTTCTTTTAAGGCTCTTTTTCAGGATATGCCACAAACACTGCCTGTCTTCGATTGAGTTTAAAATTAACATTGTATGATCATCTTTCCACAACAATAACAAACGTGGTAGTTTTACAATTGCTCACTCCTCACTGTTAATGAAAGTTTCGGTTTCAATAAACACTATAATAAAACAACGAACTTTGAGTATTTAGCCTTTAGCCAAATTGGATCTCTTTGATAAAAAAATTGATATAATGTGATACATACAATCCGCTGTCTTATTGGTTGCTCACATATAGGGCTGACACTATATCATAGTGTTTGGCTACTGATGGGTTAATTGTAGCTGACATAGAGATCAATTTTAGGAAAATAATTTATAAGCAGTATTTTGAAGAAATCCTTCCTCTCATATTGCAAAGGATCACTTAGAAGACCTAGTACCTAAGTGATAAGCTCATAAATTTTTACTTTTTGCCGATAATTAAATCGAGAAAATTTTGCACTAAATGTTGTGTTATACTGTACTTTATATTATATTTTGTTGTTTGTAACATGTAAGTATAATAGACTAATGCCTGGTTTCACAAACGATGATTAAGGTTAATCACTGATTAAAAATATTTGAATGTTAGCCAGCTTTGATTATACGCTCAGATGTTTCCCATTCTAATATTTTTAATCAGTGATTAACCTTAATCATCGTTTGTGAAACCGGGCAATAGTATAAGTGTAATTATATGTAACTACCACTGTAACATGGCGGCTCTATTTTTGTTGCTGTTGTACCTGTACATAGTGGGCCAAAGTAGACGCTTTATTTAGAGAATGTCACTGGCACCAATAACACCTGTCTCAAACTGTCTGGCCATTAGGGGTGATGAAAATAAGTTATACGTTACTAAAGAAACGCCCCATATCGTCCAGACAGTTTGGTCTATACACATTTTCTCACAAATGGAGTTGAGTTTGAGTAAGAAAGCGTCTACTTTGCCACTATACCTATAAATCACAATACATAAAACTTGTGTAGGTTTTTGCGTAGTGTATAGTCACAGATGTATATAAACTGTATACATGTGTGATATAATCATATATATACGGATATAATATACAATGGCATACATGCATTTCTATTTATATAACGTTGTTATCTTTTGTTAAGAATAATTGTTGTTGAAAGGTTTGTATATTTTGTACAGTGAAAGGTTGGTATATTTTTATAGTTTCTGAAATGTAGCGTTCAATTGTAACTATAGTAGATGATGTGAAAGGTCATATTTTGTGAGTTTAATATGTATAATTTGTTGTCAATTTGTATATTCTACTTATATTTAAGTAGTTTTCTGATACAATAAAAATTAAATAAATTTAACAGGAAATTAACAGATTGATTAAGATGAGTGCACTTCATTATTTATTGTGATACTGGTAAAATGCGAAATTTGTGCGATATTAAGTTATGATCATGTCTATACTTCTATGAATTGATGGGACCAGAAATTGTTATCCGTAATCCATATAATTCCGTTTTACATCTACAGAAATATTATCTAGGATTTGCAAGTTTCCATTCTGCCTTCCTGCTTATAGTAGGATTTTTATACCTTCAAAATAAATTACAAATCCGTGTATAAATAATAAAGGTGGTAAAAAAATCTAAGTAGTCAGAGGTATTTATATTTTCCATAGCCTGCTTAGTTCCAAAATTTTGTTTTTTCAAATGGAATGTATATCTTCTGCACCAATAAATTCCTTATTTTTCTTTCTAATTAGGATAATATATAGTTATCAGTATGCTTGATAAGAACAAATTTGACATAAATAGGGAAAACCATTGAACTACATAGGTATATTCCACAGCCTACTTTTGTTTAATCCATATTTTCAGGACGGAATAACAGTTTTCCCTATTTATCTCCATTTTTCTTATCAAACATACATTTTTCTAATTAGAAAAAAATATGGAATTTATTGGTACAAAAATATACTATTTGAAAAAACAAACTGTGGTCTATAGGCAGGTCATGGAAAATATAAAAATATCCCCTTAGTAAGAGACTATTTTTTACAACTAGTATACCTACTGTTTTGATATTTACACAAATAAGTGAGTTATAAATCACATTTTTGGACTTTTGCGTAAGTCTAAACCCGTTAGATCAATGTATGATCTAAGCTAAACTGCATCACTCTTGAGAGGTTCCATATTTTTTGTGAGTTTCAATATTGTTTTTGAAATTGACTTGATTTAACCGTATGCCGAATCACATATTTGATACCGTTATTCTTTTGTTTGAAATCGTGTTTCTTTTTGGTGTAATGTTTCCTTAATTTATGTTTAAGTTTTCATTACATGGTCTTGACTACAGGTAATATTCATATAAATTTTGATCATTCTTTTAAACATGTGAAAATTATCGAATTGTTTTGATGTATGTATGCGCATTGACTTGTTTGTAAATTAACATTTTCTCCGTGAATGAAGCAGTCACGACGGGGGTGGCAAAAACTGTGTTACGATATCTAATTCCGTGATTCGAGTTCAACATTCAACTGCAGGTTCGAAAACCCGAATTAGGGGCGAGTTTTACATATCTCGGTAGTGAGATTCTGCTCATCAAAACCATTTCGGTTTAGAATCTATGTACGATAAATGAGTTGTGATTCGCTAATTCCACATATTTTGTCGTTAGTTGAATTTGCCTACAAGGCCCTTTCTCAGCATTTAGGTACCTGCTTACCTGACACATATTAGACCTAAGATTTGTTTTTAACCCTGAGTGTAACCAACTTTGTGTAAATGCATGTACTATCTTTGTTAACCACTGCTTAAACTTGATAATTCCACAAACTATTTTGTTAACTAATTGTTGGGCTGTAAGTATTAATCAAATGTCGCGAGAGTACAGCTCCTTTTGACTTTGCTTGCTTTGTTTACGCGTTAAATGTACACCAACTAAATTTCAGGGCTTTCACAATCTTCATAAGTACCTAATAATAAGTATATATATATATTACAAAAACTTGTCACGATTTCAGTGTTTATTTAAGATCACATTTTCTTTACCCTTTTTACAGACGAAAATTGTTATCTTTAAAGTAGGTAGGTAGTTTCAGAAAAAAAATTACATTGGACTTGGACATCAAGCTGCAAATTTTTTAAAAAATTGAAATGAGTGGTTAAATAGTAGGGTGGGCCGAAAAAACTCATTGTTTGATTTCGAAGTTGTAAGACCGCGGAAAATATGCGAATTATACAGGGTCATTCTTGACGAGCGTCAGTTAGAAAGATATGGAAAACCTTTGAAAATTAAGCTAAACTGATAAGTCCTTTAAGGGTTTTGGCACATGATGAATTGAACTAAAATATTTTCAAAATGGCGCCACTTCCGGAAATACCGGAAGTAGCCATCAACTTTGTTATTTTAAATAGGGACACCCTATTTTTTCTACATTTTCGGATTCTACGTCGAATTTGGAGTACAACGATACCCCATAGTTGACCCTTTGCTCCAAGGGCTTCGCCGATATTCAAGTTTTTTTCATTGTATTCACTGTATATCTTCATGCCCCCTTCACGTTTTCTTTTATATGCGTTCCTTCACCTCCTTTAAACGCTTCTTTTATATCACATCATTCACATCACAGATGATAAACTGATAAACAATGCTCTAAAAACGAGAAAGGCATAGGTACCTATATGGCTATATTATAACATCTATCTATGGTGCCCGACAAGGCCGGCTAAGGCTAATTATACCGTTTCCAAAATAGTAACTAAAAAACCGCAGCAATATAATGTCTATAAAAGAAGTATTGTATGATATAATAATTAAACGCTACGAATTTGGACTAAAAATAAAGTGAGCATTGTTGTATGAATATGTAGGTATACACAGCGCTAAACATAAAATATCTTAAATAGCAGTAGAAATCTGGCGCGACGCCATATGTAGTTTTGAGCTAGTATTTTAGTGTACAACGGGTTTAGCGAGCGGGACGTTACATTAAAATTTGAAAAATGGATCCGGAATCGTTTTTGGATATTGCTAATCAAGTGATTAAGTTAAAAATGTTTCCGTATTTCGATATAGCGTATTGTGTGTTATGCGCTCTGTCTGTCAGAGAGGATTTAGGAAATGGTAAGTGAAGTAATCGTCTGCACATGTAATTATGGCTACGCTACGTGGAACAATTCGCGTCGTCGCGAGCGCCGCCGCCTCTAGCGTCATATAGGAGCACTCGAGTATTGATTTGTAAAAAGTTTATTAATTACCTACTATATTTCTCTCCACAAAGTTACTTTAGCAAGTTATTTTCATATCTATTTAAATAGAGTTTCGCTTTCGACGTCAATTTACATTGATTCTGGTAAAAGTATGTACACGGACAGATGCTGCAAGTGCTCTTTAAAAGGAACCAAAAAATTATAGGTACAATTTTATCCTCGCTCGATCGCGCGTAGGTACTTTTATTAAAAATTAAGTAAATCATATGTAGGTAGGTATCATCTACTCTACTACACTGGTGATATTGGTAGGTACATAGGTGTAATATAAATATTCCACTTCGGGGCATATGTTATTTTTATCACCATGTCTTACTATAATAAAAGATTACTGTGACGTTATGGTTTTGTTGAAAAGTAGGCATAACCATTTTGAATGTAGCAGGCATTAAATTTTGGCACACAAAGAGATTAATTAATCACACAATACAATGCTGAATTCTGTCACGGCGTCTCTTTTGATATTATATTTAACAATAAGTAGAAAACAGTGACTTAACGGCACACACAGTTCTGAGATTAGTATGCATTTATTATGATAGTCCGCTTTTTTATTTAACGTTAATTATTTGTACCCGGTGATCCTTCATAGTTGAGGATCCTTTGAATTTCGTGCTTAAAGATTTAACAATCATAGTGAATGCATGATGGCATACCGTTGGAATAAATCATAAGTTACACCACGTTGAAAAGTGAGAAAGATTGAAGCGATCCTAAGGGATCACCCGGTATCTATATTCTATTTGCAAATTCTACTGGGTTTTTATTTTGTGCCGAATGAAGGAAGACCTCTCATTAAAACTTACGAACGTATTTCTTCATTAGCGGTTGACAGCATTCCCAAAATTCTAAATCGTCTGAGCGTGATGCAATGTAACGGCCTCCGGTATAAATTTTGGTAACACCAGAGTCGTTACCGTTCCTGCTCCCGTCTCCGTCACTGGCATTTTAGAAAATTTGCCTTACTGCTAATTCAAGCCGAAAATGCACAAATGTGCCAATCAGGAATAATAATTGGGGTGGGCTATCAACGATGGGGATGACAACAGAGCAGGTATACCTACCTATGAGTTCTCACGTAGTTTTTTACATACGGAAAATGAGCAAAATAATCACTGGAAATGAAACCCATCTGACCCAACAATTCTCAGAGCCATATCTCCTTTATCAACTCTACAGAAATTATATTCATGTATAGAAATTCTTCCCTCAGTATTTTTGGATGGTTTATCGATGGACCAGTGATCCAGGGTTGAAAAGTTCCGTAAAGCTCAGACTTGCAACGTGTAACGAGATAGTTACATTTACAGGAGTTAAGGTGGGTTCATAGCTCTCCGTTCATCCGTTGCGTTGATCCGTCAAACGGATAGTACATTTTGTTAAGGTTCATAGCAATCCGTCCACATTGTACATTTGCAACGTATAACAATAACCTAAATTTTATTTTGTATTGTACCCTCCGTGATTTTCAGTATGAAAAAATGGTACGAAAATAAGAACACGTTGCTATCTGAATATCACCGTGAAGAACGAATAGGCGAACACTGTTAACGTACCAAACATAACCTCACTCTTGTTAAAAACGGACCA